AAAAAATGAGGTAACATACAATGAACTACATTGCTAGAAATCTCTAAAAATTTCTCATTGAGGACTCATTGCATGAAGTATTTTCAGTCTTTTTTCCACTTTCAGAAAGGTTGTTCGAACAATTTTCTAGAGGTGCCAACGTAACATAAATGGAGTTGACGTGATTATGGGGGCATTATTCAAACTAAGTTTTATTAAACATTTATCGAAGCCTTCATTATACAAATAATATCGACACATCTGGTTTAAAAAAAAGCCCATACCCCAACAGAGATTGAACAAACTCAATCGAGAATGTCAACAAGAAAAATATGAATCCTTACAGTTCGTTAAATATGCTAAATACTATATTGATTTATTGAGAAAGCAGTTGGCATTTTATACGTCTGAGTATAGGGGATAGGACGAAAATTAACGGTGATTTGCTTGTAAATCAAGCTGACAAAAAGATTTAAATGATCTATATCGATGCAAGTGCAAAATCTAATTTCTAAAACGTTCGAATTCTCGATCTCAAATATAATTCTTAACTTGTGAAATATCCTCGTTTTGTGAAGAAGGAGAGTTTATCATAGATTAAAAACAAATTTAGAAATCTCGAAGTACACATTTGTTTCCCATGCTACAAAGTTGACTAATTAGTATACAACTAATAGATTCACTGTGTAATTATTATACCTAAAGAACATTATCTACTGTAACTTAAGAGCATTAAATTAAGTGACATATCTAAATCCGAACTTTGACCGCTTTAGAGAGTGAACACTAGAGATGAAAGCCTCAAATTTATTTTAATTAATCATTAGTAAACATAACATAACCTAACACAAATAAACAGCAATTTAACCGGCAAAGCTAGTCTGTCTATGCTCGTTTAGACAGTCACATACGGCCGATTTCTTGCCTTGTGTTACCTTCAACTTGTCTGCCAGGTTACAAGCACGGGGCGAAACAAATATATTGAAAGATTAAGAAGTATTGATACCAAAATCTACAAGAAAATTCTCAAAAACGTGGTCACTGAAAGGACAGTATCCTTTCAGTGATACAACCAATCCTACGTCATCTACTTGATAGTGGAAAGGATGCTGATGTTTCAATGTCTTTTACGATAAACAATAGGTAAACAGCCTCGAATTTACTACGCTTTGCTAACATTTTGACTAGAAGACTCAAACCTAGTGTATTAATAAAAAAGAACACTGTAGTCAGTCTAAATCTTATGCATAATTTTAATTTTGCAAACCTTGCGTTGCTAGCTGATTACCATGTTGTTGAATTGACAATTCACTATTTATTTTATTTATTTATACTGGTTATTTGGATCTTCATATTGATGTTTAGGACTGAGATTGGTCCATTTCTAATTCGCATATGTGCATCCTGTGCGATTCACCTCTGCTTAAAAATTCTTATGATTTAATGGAAATATCGAGACAATCTACACAGGGTGCACATATGCCAATAAGAGACTGACCAATCGCAGTACTAAACATCAATAAGAGGTTTCAAATAACCAATTTATCTCGTCTCATAAGCCAATGGTTTTCTGGAATTAATAGCTAAGTGAGTCATACAATAACGTTCGAAGTCAACGGACCTAGGTTTGAGTCTTGGAGTGAACATCTAGGATGCTGGTACACCAAACTGGTAAGACCCAAATAGAACGAAACAAACGTCCCCTGTTAGCCACCATTCATCTCTGCTTAAAAATATTTAATTGATATAGATTTTATACTTAACCGTAAAACCTACATTTAATAGTGTTTTCATAAAGAACTAATTGAAAATAAGTATTTCTTGAGTAAACTTGTATTTTGAATGTATCAATAGTAATATTAAATGCACTGAACTTTTGGATTAGCTAAATACCAACGTTTTTTATCACATGCCTTAAATTATAATTTTCTTTATTCTCTTTTGTTTTATATCTGAGTTTTGCCTATCAAGTTTATATCGTTCCTCTCATTTATTATTACATAGCCTATGAGATTATTCTGCTGTATCTAAAAGTTTGTTTCAATGCTTTGGTTTAATATTTATCTAGTAATTTTTTAGATTAAAAATCGAACGAACAACACTTTTTTTTAATCTCTCAACAACTATGGTTAGTTTCCATTATCCAAACTTCTCTATATTTCTAACGTAATTTAACCCATACATATCTGATACAAAACAAGTGTAAAATTGTTTTATTTTTAATGATTCATACTATTTTGTGTTTAGGTTGTAAGTATTTGAAAAGAATTCACGAAAGATAAATGAGAATTCATGACTTATTCTGCTGTGACTATTGTTGTTCTCAATACCATTTTTTTCTTATAGACCGCCCAAATTTATCTGTAGATTACGAGTGTATAAAAATCAAAAGTCTACAATTTTGCATTTACTCATGAAATTTACCTTTCTTCCAAATATTCTTATTATTTGTCAAAATATACGAAAAAAAAGATTATTCCTAGTCACGAAATATTGTGAACTAACTGAAGTGAGAAATTGGGTGTCAAACTAATGGTTTATAGGATTAGTGATCTCCGCGATACCTCGAGGTCCTGGGTTCGATTCTTGGTGAGATCGTGAATGCACACTGCTGAGGAGCCTCGTGCTGGAGCGAAACAGCCGTCAAAGGCTTCCTGGTTCTCAATAGTTCTCTAACTACGACCAGTTTGTGATGTAAACTATAGAATTTAAGAATCTCTACGAACCTATTCATTAATATTCATTGTCAGTTAGATTATTTAAAAATATATGCCAATCAAATACGCCTATTAGACATAGTTCAATAAAAATAATTGATAATGTATTTTCTCATTCCTCTGGAAACACATTTACTATCAATAATGCGTATCACATGACAACTAAATTCATAATGATAATTGTACTATACTAGTAAAATAATGGATTATTCATTAATTAATTTAATGCACCATTATCGCGTTATTGTACATTAGAATTTCAGTAGAAATAGCTAGATAGGAAGAAAACCTGTCAAGCAACACACGGTAACTGCGTTACAAAGAGGAATCACACGACTTTATAGTCATAGATGTTAAAGTTAGCTTTCTAAAGCGTGTAAAGCATCGATAAATTGTCAAGAACCACACAACCTAGGGGGCTACAGTTGCTGCCTGAATGCCTAAGGCAACACGATTTTCTATAAGCCTACAACTAGCAGATAAGAGGTTCTTATAATAAACATAATTAGCGTAGACAAAGATCATTTACCAACTAATTTGGAAAGACGAAACATACATGTGACTAAATACAGAATAATAAATATTGATGTAAGTAATCGACAACTAGTTTGATTCATTATAATGGTATTGCAACTTATTTTTTCCACGATTTAAACTAGATCTAACTAAACTGAGCAATGCGTCAATGCTTCAGTAATTGATGTGGCTTTATCCGATTGTCTTCAGTTGTATGTATTCTAGAAGACAGATTCATTTCTAGGAGTGAAAGGCTATACAATTGACAGGTAATTGATCAAGAAATGGATTTTATTATGAAAGAATTATACAGACCTCTGAAACGAAAATAGTTTGAAGTGAATACTACAATATTATAACTCAATGGATTTAAGACTTTACTGTTAGTCAGCATATGAAGATTTGATTTCTACTCAAGCACCACTATATAACCGTCTAAATACGAAGATAATATAGTTTAACTTTGCATATGTAACAAACTTACACAGTTGCTATTCCATTAAATAGCTAGCCTATCTGATCTAATGGTAAAGATAACAAGAAGCATAAAAATTAAACCTCTTTCCAACCTTCATGATTAATATCATGAGATCACATAAGGTTCAATTAAAGTATTAAAATGTTATATACTTATGAATCATTGTAGCTGACAACTGTTTAAAAATATAGTATTTAAAATCACACTTATTCAAAGTACGGATGGTAATTTATTCAACCACTACTATATAAATATATGACAACATATTGACTAAAACGTAGATGTTTAATAATATTAGAATGGTACATAAAATGCATACAAAAATGTATGAGGAGTACAATGCTTAGTTTCATAGAAAGAATATAACTATTTTCTAATTAAAAATAACCACAACTCCAATGAATTAGATCTTAATGTAATAAAATAAATTTCGGCAGAATTCCACCCACACGAAAATGATAGAATTTTCAAATATCAATATATTATAGAATTAATAAATGCATACAATTCTTTAATATGCAAAGTACCTATTTAGTCCCTGTGATTTATATTATAAACACTCTAAAATCTCATCTCTAATAACAATAATAATAATAATAATAATAATAATAATAATAATAATAATAAAGCATAGTACATCCACATTTTGTGAGTTAAAATACTACAAAGAACTTACGAAAGATGATTTTAAAATATCACAAAATGTATAAACCAAAAGAATATACACATATTCTGCCATAGATTACAATGCTACTTGACTAAAATACTATGTGTATTTAGTGTACAAACTTTTTCAGTCAGTCATAATCACAATAGAGATTGACATAAACATTTCATGATATCGAAAACTATTTGATAAATCATTTCTTTAGTGTTGATGAATAAAATGTAACGGATATATGTTTCTTAACTAAAGATAGATAACAGAAAAACATTATCTCTAAAATTTGTGTTCTCTCATATTTTTTTATTTGATTTTGAAGATGCTATTACTCAGTTCTCTAGTGTAAAACATTCTTGCTAATCGAGTTAAGTAATAGTTTGCGTTCTATACATGATTTTATCAAGTAAACAAAATCAGCTTCCAGATGATGACATATTATAGTTTAAACCTGAAAACTTAATAGATTTTGTCAATAACCAGTGATTAAAAGGCAATAGTAAACGTCGAAAACCTAATTTTTGAAATCAGTTTAAGTTTATTATTACTGATAATTAGATAATATAGTACCATTAAAAAAGACAAATGCTGTTGAATTGCATATTTGATGTTCTATACATAATATTCGAAAAATAAAACAATGACATACTTGATCTGTTCTACTGCTGGAAGCATTACGAGGCATTCTACGAAGGCTATGAGAACCACTGGAATACGAGTCACCTGACATTGAAAAGAAAATAACATCAATGAAACCAATTTATTCGAAAGGATTTTGTAGAGATTGATTTAATTTCTAAATAGTATTCATCAAAGATCGACCACATTTAGGTTATCGTAAAAAATCAAGATTCATTGGACATCTGTTTTGTCGTAGTATGGGACTCTAAGATGTTCCTGAATTCCTAGTGAGATATTTCAATTTATAGAGTTCAGATAGGTCGAGAGATAGACAGTTATTTCCAAGAGCATTGGAGAATCGTCAAGTTAAATAACAGGTTGTCTGAAGTTGAGACGGCACAACTGAATCCTGACCCAATGGTTCAAAGACTAGAAAAATATCTGAAGATCCTGGGTCCGATTCCTAGTGATGTTGTAGGTGGACACTGCTGAGGAGTTCCATAATAAAACAAGACATATTCACTTTTGTCTGGTTTTCAATGGTACGCAAAATGAGGTCAACCTGTGATGAATACTACCTGGAGATTAAACCAATGAAAAGAACTTTATTATTGGTAAAGTAAAATCACCGAATGATACAATAAGAAAAACTTCATTTGCATATTCGTCTTTCAGTAGTAGAATAAAACTAGAAGTTTTCGAATAATTTCTCCAAATTTAACTGTTTTGCTGTATCTTTACACAATAACACAAATTTCCATCTTGTATTTTTCTAAATTCCTTAGCAGTGTTAATGAAACTCTATTAAGATCAATATGGCATAATCCAATTGCTCTCTCAGTATGGAGATTAATATCGATATGATTTCTCTAATACTCCACAGTATCAAAAAATAATCATGCGATTTACAATTCTTTTACTGTTTTTTCTCTCAAACGATCAATTATTTCAGTTCCATTATTCTCTATCTTACTACCAGAGATGTTTGAAAAAATTGAAAACTTAGTGACTTGAGAAAATTGTATCACGAAACCATTTTTTAAGTCATTGATCCAATCTTAGAAAGACGAACGTGAATAGTGGTACGGTCTACTTTTTTTCTTATTACATAATTGATGAAACTAAGTTCACTGTCTAATGTTAGTTATCAGCAATAACTAAAATAATCATGACGTGTGATAGTCAATCTGTACCTTGTAAAGCAAGTGCGGTTGGCGTTGTTGTAGCAGAACTACGTCTTAATCGTTCCATATCGGCTAGAGCTCGATCTCGTTCTGTTTGACTTGTTTCTAGAAGACGTCTAAGACGATCTAATTCTGTATGTAATTGATTTTTCTCTTCTAATGCGGCCATTTTTTCACGTAAATGTGTCTGTAATCGTTCATTAGACTCCAATAGTAATTTGTCAACCTTTTAAAAGATAAAACAAATTATATATAAAAAACAATCAGAATAGAAGGAATTCTGAGGAAAAAAGTTCAGCTTTATTATTTAAAAGAAGTATTAATTACGTAAGTGTAATTCATCCTAGATATCAAATTATAGTAAGTGATATATCTTCAACCTTAAATTTTCTTACAAGCGACTTTTCAGACAAAAAAGGTTTACTTCATTAAAATCACTAACAAAGGGCGCGCTTTACATTTTTTTCAAATATTGTAGATCTTTAATGACAAATTAATAACTTTTATTATCTATAAAGTAACGTTATATCTATTCTTCGTATCGTTTCAAACCATCTCGTCTTGGTAGTAAGCGGTGCTAATATATGTATGGCGTATGTTTTTATAAAATACGTAGTTTGAGGTATAGTTATATTTCTTTTATCGTAGGCTTTGATTTCAATCATTCAATGTTCTTTTGTGTTTTACTGTTTCCTAATTATGGTTAAATAATTATACATTTGTGGTGAATGTGAACTTAGGCGGAAATAACCAATTAATTATTTGATCCAAAATTATCGAGTGCTTTCGTAAAGTATTAAAATTATACATTAAATTCATCATTCGCACAAATTCCTTTAGTTGTCTTTTACATGCTGTATGATTCTTTCAGTTCTGTTGTTATTAAGATTGCTCTCTGATTCCTAGGCATTCCAATTCTTATTGGTGATACATACTACTAATATCTGTCAACATAAGTAGCATATACCACATATCTACTGCTCAGTATTTTTATGTACAAGTTAGGATTTTTCTTGTTTTTAGTAAGTTGTGATCATTGAACTGATGTATGTAATCCTTAGAGGTTTTTCAGTCAAGATGAAAATATACACAGTAATAAGCGGTAAATCTGTTTGGTATCTTAGAGTTCTGATTGGCTACTAGGGACTAAAGAAATTGTGTGAGTTAATTGGAGTTTGAATCTTCAATCACTGTTCACGGTTATTGGTGTTATTAATTAAAAAGATAATCATTAGTTTGATCGGTTAAAAATGAAAATATCATTAATAGACTTGATAGTCCAGTAGATCCAATTATGTAGGGTATATAAATGGTTGAAATTAAAACAAGACTAACATCAATCTATACCATGATTCCTATATATGTTATAATAAATTCAAACATTCAGTAAACTTACCGTCGCAGTTAAACGTGAACTATGATCCTCATTTAATTGTTCGCGTTGTCTAGCTCTTTGTAATTCTGACTGGATTTCATTCATTTCAACTTCCATATCTTTAATACGTTCTTCAGCTGTAGATAATTGTACACGCAATTCGTCAACTACTGTTATGTTAGGATTATTGTTGTTACTGTTATTATCATTAATTAAATGAGAACTTTTGCCGTTTTTAATAGTTTTTTCATCATTAGAAATAGTTTCATTTTCGATAGACTCAATAAATTCACCACCATTTTCAATAGCTGTATGCATTAGAGTTGATGTTGTTGTAGGTGTATTCACTTTTTCATTTTGTTGCATTGTATTCACTTTGACAATGGCTAATTCGTTTTGTACTGTTTCTAATTCGCTAACCAAATGATTTGCATGATCTTTTGCCTTTATTATTATTGTGTAATTGAAGTGATAGAAAAAGAATAAACATAGAATGGTTATAGCAATGAAAATATATTGCCATGACAACTATACAGTAAATGATGACGAAATTATTAGATTTGTCAATTAAGAAACTGTACAGTAGCTTTTTCTCTCTCGCGCTCGCTCACTTACCCATTCGCTCAGTTTTGATTACTCAATTATGATCAATTAGTACGCTCCACACCAGTGTATACTATAAACGATGAAGATATGATTTGATTGTGAACGAAGAATTTTCAAGTACCGTTAAGGGTATGAGGCCAGTTATCCTTTCGAGTTTGTACATACAGTTGAAAGATACTTAATCTTGAGGTACGTTAAAAAAGAACCATGAAGTGATTTTAAAGACGTAGGAGAGTGACTAAAGTGCCCAAAATACAGATGGAAATCTATGGAGTAACGTAAAGTGTACTGTCTTTAGGGTCGTCTATTCTAAGCCCAGTTCACTTGTTGTCAGAAAGCAAAGTAGATGCAGATGCTGCGACTCATATGTTTTCGACCCTACTTCTCATTAACTAACCTGCTTATCACGTTAAGACTTAGAGGAACGAATGTCCCAGGTAATATAGGTCAGTTGACTCATCACGATATCCAAGACCGACCAGCACGTTAAGGTAGCAGCCATTGTCATACGTAAATTCATTTAATTTCGACCAATTTCTAAATCCACAGTTCTATAATCCCTTCATACATATTTTTTCATCCCGTTTGTTAAAACCACAATCTCAGTGAAGAATCTTTCTCGCTACCATAGCCACTAAAATATTTCAATTCATTTACTATCCATAATGTTAATTTTATCCAGTCGTGCTAATGTACTGTGAAAACTTGGGCCGACTCAAACTTGTTTAAGGCTCTTCATTGATTATGACTGACTGAATGACTGAGTATACACTATTCATCAGATTAATGACCTGATAATGTAAAAGGTCACTAAATGTGGACAAATGATAAGCAAGAATTCGACTGAGAAAATTTTAAAATTAAGATTTGAGGGGAATCTGCAAATACTACTAGCAACTCTTAGAAGGCTTGGCAGTCAGATTATTCTGCAATAAATAGATACATTGATATTGATATGATCTATTACCATGTAAGGTGAAAGTCAAGAAAATAGCCAAAAAGAATGCAAATATACACGAAGACAACAAAACTACTAGGAACAACCGGTCACAAACAAAATCAATAAACCGAAATAAGTTGACACCTATGAGATAAACCTTAACAGTTATGAAATAAACGCAGTTAATGAAAGCATCTCAATATGAAATATCCAGCTCAGAAGGTCTAACGCCACCAAAAGATTCACTATGAGATTTATAGTATGATCAATCTATTTTTCAATAATTAACCAGAAAACAATTTAAAGACGAAAGATTTAAGTCTTGGTAAGCCACTCACAACAAATCATCTACAACGAAACTATATTTAGACTATCATTTATTCATATTCATTTGCATGACTTAGCAGTACAATAAACACTAATGGCTCACAACAGTTTAATTGGACCAAATTCAAGATATGCATCATGGGATTTGACCTAAACGTTGTACAGTTATACATCGAGAAAACTAAATGACAAATCATTTCATAGATATATAGCTAAAAAGTAGACCAGACATATTCACGTGATAAAGAATCATATGAAAAGTATAAACAGACCATATATCTTGTCATACATGCACAATATCCTTTTTGGAAATATATTATCCTAGCTAGTTAATATACCATACATCGATTAGATAAAGGAATTAGCTATAACTAGTGCCTAAACAACCATTAAAGTCAAAATCAATGAATTTAAGTTTATCATTGCATTCTTCCGGAACTTGGAAAAAAAGATTAGAAATGTTATACTCACAGTCTGTATTGAAACTTGTCTTCTCTCAGGAACAAAGAGACAAGATAGTTTTAACGCACAAAAAACAGTTCTACCGTTACAAACATTTAACTAAAAATTTCATCCGACCCGAAAATATTAAACTGAAATTACATAGAAAATGTCAAGCAATAGAAGAAAATAATTTTTTATGGGAAAGCAGATTTCTTTATATTTCTCTCCCCGAATATATATCTATAAACATTCTCACTCGAATATTATCAACCAAGTCGGAGTTTGTGTAGAACTGCGGTATGACTTCTTCATGTTAACTGGAGTTCGTCATGATTACCCTTTTCATATTTTATGTAATCTTGCCATAGATACGTTACTTTAGGTGACTATCGAATCACCTAACCTTTAAAGGACTGACCTCCAATCGGCAGATCCTCACATTGCCTTATAAAGTATAAAAATAGTTTATCATTGTCCGGCGAATGCGCTAGCAAGAGAGATGAGTGATCGACAGACCAAGAAAAAGTATTGATCGATGAGGCCAACAGCGGTACAATTCCGACACGTCAGGAATTTCTAATATTTAGGTAAGTTTCAGAGCAGTAAGAGTAAACTCTAGTTAGAAATAAACGGCTAAAACATCAGTTATGGTGAAGCAAGTAAATTCATATTTTCTAAATTTCTTTATAAAGCACCTAGCTAAATATATTATTCGTTTATTTGACTGGTTAGAGGTATTTCAGAGTGTGAAACAGAATGACATGAATATAAACCGAACAGAAAGCAGAATGACTCCCAAGAATGGCGATAAGTTATGCTGATAAATCCCAATCAGTTGAAAACCAAGTTCCAAGTTCACTCATAACCCCCTTAACACTTCATAATACTTGTTATTCGTTGTAAGTTTTTAATATCGACTACATTTACAAATTTATTCTATATCCTATTCACCCCAAGTCATCACATGATACATACTTGGGTGTCATTAACTACATCCTAAGTGGAATTGAACAATATCTAAACTTGAAAAAAGTAAAATAATAAAATAAAACATTCAATCGTATAACTTAAAGAATGAACCAAATGAGAAGTTAAGGACCAAACCAAAATAAATATCACATTTAGAGTAATCATGGTTTGAGGTTGAGATTGGAAAAAGATACACGAATAAAGGTGATATTGTATTTAGCGTAATAAACGGTTATATACTAGTTCCAAATTGTTTTTCACATTCCTTGTACACTTGAAAAATGTGACATCAACAGCAAACTGCCATAGAGGCCCTTCTAAGCATACTGACGGTGTCAAGCCCGAAAAAAGGAAGGTTAGAGCATGGAGTTGGGAATCTCTTTTCATAAAAAGGAGAAATACTAAAAAACGCAAACCAGATCATTGACAATGAGCTAAAATATCGTAAAAAATTAAACTAAGTTAGTACATTCACAAACTGTTTGTTCTCCCTTACTTGTTTTAATTCAATTTCACGTGTAATCAATTCTGACTGAGCTCGACTAAGTCTGTCCAACGTGCCAGTAGCTTCACGTTGTGTAGCAAGATAACGTTGTTCCAAAGTTGCAATACGAGCTTCTTGATCTTCACGTTGAGCTTCCAACTCTCTTAATTCTCTTTGTAAACGAGAAATCTGAAAGAATAAGGCAATATACTTCTCTAATTTTGGTGAAAAAAATGTTGGTAACCTTACCACTAAATAATCATACCGACGCCTTTTTCCCCCAAAAAATATAGTACTTATTTCTAATTGAATGTTTAAAGTGGTCCCCACAAGTGTCAATAATTTTTCTAGTCTAGACTCTTGAATATTAGCTGTTACGTTAAGTTTTGAAACAAATACCAAATCAATTCAGTTTGCAAAATTTGATACTAACGGCAATCCATCGATGTATGAACTGTACATACATGAGGAACTATCCTGCCATTAATCTTGAGTATTTGAGTAAAGAAAGCCTTAGACAGAGAGGAACGATGGTTGAAATATGAAACAGTCGTGTTTACCTGATGACTTATATGGTGTTAATTGTTAGTTTTAAAAAAATATATGTTACCGAAAGTATTCTAATAGTCACACGACGAAGCTGAGACAGCTTAAAGCTCTACATAGTAATTCACGCTTTTCGTTAACAGTATCAGTGATGCACTGATTGGATCGCTATAAACATTCAGTTACATGGCTTCAAAATCGATTCTACTCACGGATTTACCCAGTGATGACCTTTTAAACTCTAAGAACTTACTCGACATACACTAAATTCCCATTACTTCACATATTGTACGATCTTTTTTCATATTTATGTATTTCTACCATATCAGTGTTATATGTAATAGTACAAATATGGCCTATACATTGTTTAAAACAACAAAATCCGTACGTGGAACTTTCTGAATTTAAAGAGAAAAAACTCAGCTTAAGGTTTAGAAAGAATTTTAATGGGAAACCTAAAAATTCATTGTGAATAGAGACATTGCATAACTTGCTAAACAACGGACGTGCAAAAAAGTAAGAACCAGATGTCCAGTTACGTTGAAATCCCATAATAAACTGAAAATAAAAAACTTGAACTACTAATCCGAAGGCTACCACTGTACAATAAATCATTACAAGAAAACGAATAATACACTCGTGAAAACAGTCTAAATTTGTGTGAAAACCTATGAATAATACATTCTAAGTGATGAATTATTGATACTACATATCCCTTAAAAATTCTAGTAGACGGAGACAACTTCGAAAATATGACTAACTCATGTAAGGTGGGTAATCTAAGCTAATTAACCAAACACACATACACAAAAAGGACCTAAAAAGCTCTAGTAAAGTTGTTGATCATCGATATAACATATAACTTTTAGAAATTCATCAAAATTAGTTGTTTTCACTCATCTTAATTTACTCGTTTATTTTTCTTTTTGATCAGAACGGGGTTTGTGGAGATTGTAGTGATTTTAATCGTTAAGTTCATGAGTCGCTGTAAGCTAGACCACCATTGAAAACCTGACAGCACTGAACGGCCGTTTCGACGCTTACTCTCGTGACTGGGTTCAAGTCCCCCATGCGGGATCGTGGATGCGCACTGCTCAGGAGTCCCATACTTGAACAAAACGGCCGATCATCTTATAGCGACCTGTGAATTCAACTTTTTTTTCTCTTCATTAAACAAGTCACTTACTGTAAATGTAGTTAACTTTAATAACAAGAACGCATCACGCCGGGAAATGGAGATAGACATGAGAAAAATGAACAAGAATTGGATGGAATTATAAAGGAAGGCCCAGGACAGAGTGGGTTGTAGAATTCTGGTCGGCGGCCTATGCTCCATTAGGAGTAACAGGCGTAAGTAAGTAAGTTAATAATAAGAATTTACAAAACCCGATTCTGAGCAACAATTTAAACCCAGCAACTCGTGATACTATCCAACTGCCTACACCAAAGTAGGCATTGCATAGTTCATACGTACGACGATGAAACAACCGCTCAATTTCACCTTAATTTCAACTTACAAAGAAGTTAAGCTTACAGTTCAAATACGTCAAACATCATTATTGTTAATGGATTGTCATTACACAATATTGCGAAAATGTGCGACACAAGTTATCAATTTAATGACATGAAAGCATCATAGCTTCCACAAACCCTGAAGGTTCAAGATTTAGAGTTATGAGAACACGCTATTTGGGGAGTCTAAAACTAAAAAAACAACCACATAATACTTCCTAATTTCCAAAAATCCTTCAGTTGATATCGGTTGACGACGAAAAAATTAAGGTATTTCGAAATCAGTTTCTGAGATATATATAAGAAATATATTCACAAAGTGAACCAAATAAAAAACAATAATACTATCATAGGATATATGAAGACGGCTCCTGATGAACTAAAGGAAGCTCTGAAAGAGCCGAAGTCAATCATCGTTTACAATAACATTCCATAATCACAACATGTAACTTCTCGATTGGACAAATGCTAAACACCAGTGCATGTTGACTGGATTACTGTAATGATGATGACGTTTCTACTAAAAATTATAAATACTCGAGTGTTTTTGTATCATATTTGACACTGTATGGAATAAGATTCCTTCCCACTCGTCTTCTATCTTCTTACCTGCAACTTGGAGGGTTTGAGCGTTCGAGTGCTCAAGTTTTATGCGGTATAGCAAAATTTCAAGTTCTATATAACAGAATAGACAGACTATAACTAACGGTGGGGTATCCAGGAGGCATGCTCCATTCAATTTACAAATCGTCATCTGGATGTATCTTCAACATTCCAGTGTTCATACTCACATTGGAATTCAAACCCAGAAACTTTCGTATCAAACAAATGATCAACTGCGTTGCTATTAAGCTCTAATGACCTCTGACTTATTTAACGAGTATACTACTTATATTATCATTAAATGAGAGTTTTAATGATTCCATTATTTCGATTCACGAGTGACTATCTATACAATTTATTCATTTCAATCAAACTTACAAAAATTAAAATTTTCATACATTGCAAAAAGTAATACTCATCATTAAATTGGATAATTTCATCATGGATGAAATAAAATATTAACGGGATGAGAATAAACATAAAAATATCTTTTTGTTCATTATCGTTGCACTTTCATGCTTTATTATTACTATTATTATTATTATTATTATTAGTTCAGCTAATATTTTGACAAGTTAATAACAGTTCATCGATAGTTTCGATAATTATTTTTAAAAACTAGTTTAGTCTAGGTTGTTTCACATTAGGCCAGAGAATATATATATATATATATATATATATATATATATATATATATATGCACTGTTGCTTGTTCACATTAATGCTCATATTTCATCTAATAATAATTTAGCATAGATAAAACAGTAATCAGAAATTATTAAACTGTTCAGAATAATGTTAGTTGGTAGATAGTGTAAATAACAATAAAAGACAGATTGGAACAGGTGCTGGAATTGAACTAACGTGATTTCATGACATGGGGCCATTTATCTCCATTCAAATCGAATTTAATTATATCAAAAGTGGTTGCTAAGTAACTGGATGATTTAGATTAGCTTCTTGAACGATGATACTTATTTAGTTCAGATGTAAACACAATTAGAAGCTATCGTCATATACTTCAATCATTAAAAAATTATAATGAAGTAATACTGTGTAAATCATTATTTAGAATTTGACTTCGTTATATCCTAAAGAAGATTAAGTTATGGGTAACTTCTGAGAACTATGGGTGGATTAATATCATACATATATTCTCACTATTTAACTGTTAAGAAACTAAACTATAAATATTTATATTCCTTTTATTATTTGACCCATTGGTTACTGTTATGATTTATTATTCCCAGGTTATTCCCAATCTATTAGTCACATTTTCTCACAATCACAGCCACTGTTGGCTTGATCTTGTACAAATGTTACTTCCTATTTTATGGTGTAATGTGGTCTGATTTTGTTTGTATATAAACCAGGTACATCCAGTTGACGAGCCCCAAATAGGACGAAACGCGCGTCCTGGATCCCACTGCCAGCCACTATCCATCTTTGCTTAAAAAGCTTGTGACTTAAGGCTATATCGAGGAAATCCGCACAGGATGCATATACGCCAACATGAGACTGATCAATTCCAGTCCTAAATAACAATGGGAAGATACAAGTAAAACAACAAGTGAATTTAAACCAAGTATGTTTGACATATAATATTCGATATAACGCAGGTTGATATATGCGTTCTGGATTCAACCGTCCGGTTAGGCGAGAAGCTACAACTACTAGGATCAATAAGAATTCCAGGCTGCTAGTACTGGTTTATGCGTCATTGGTCCGGTCAATAAGTCGATGACTCTAATTAGCGATCGTATCGCGTCATATATTAACTGGGTACAAAGACCACAATTTATAACAGGCTTCAACCGTGAGAAATTTTCATTAAACACTAGATTATAAAAGATAAAATTATAGCAAACAAGCAAGCAAAACAAAAAAATACAAGTCACATTTACCTGATCATGAGCACGTGATAATTCTTTTTGTAATGTTGTATTAGATGCTTCTAAATCTCTAGATTTTGTAGTGACTTCAACAAGTTTACGTTCAACAGCTACAGCACTCGCAGCAGCAGCCGCTGCAGCTGCAGCAACGGATGCAACTGATTTTACACCGGAATTTTCTGCCGATGAACTTTCATCGTTTGAATCTTTTGATGTGATTGGTGGTCCACCTGGAGGTAATGAGGCTAGTTTATTGCCTACATCATTTCCATCAAGATCATCTTTACTGATTTGTGTGGTGTGATTAGAATCAACTGATTTAAAGACAAAAATAAATTACAAACCATATGTACTTTATGAACATTTAATGTTAGACAACATAGGTATTTAATGAATTTTAGTAGATACTGACCAAAAAACTAGACTCATTCATTAGTGTTATAATTTATTAGAACTTTAATAGAAGGCAAAACTAGTTAGTCACATCCCATCTACTTCCTTTCTATCTTCTCTACAAACATTTTAGCAGCAAACTGATTTGTTTTTGTTTCCCTATGATACTCCTGATTACAGGTCATGTGATTTTCAACATTTCATCGTATTACGCTGAAACTTATATTTTTTCCAAATATAATCTCTTTATTTATCTTCATAATGAATATTCAGGCTATTAACAACACAATTATTATTGGTTTCCTGAATAAAAATAACGTTTTTTTATACTTTTCTTTATGCTAATTTACCATTACCATTTTTATGATGACTAAAGTTGTTATTACTATCATTTCGAAAAAAAATTAAGTAGACATTTGCGATTGTACAGCTTTGAAAATAAATTCGTCGCAAAGAGAATTCTTCGTTGAACCAATCTTTCTTATTTGATATCTCAATGTGTATATTCTGTTTACACTCATAATTGTCATTTTTCTTTTTTTTTTTGAACTCTACTAACTGTAATGTAATTTTATGGGAATTAAGAATGAAATTGATATGTTTTCTTTTTCAACGCCAGATCCGGCTCCTAAGCTCTGATAGTAACCCCGAAACACAAAAACGGCAATCATAGTCGAAAGTACACTCATTTTGATTAATAATTAGGATGAAATCACATATATGAAAAATACTCAAAGTTATAACAAATCATATGCTACATCTCACGCTGAGCATAGTACATGTTAACTTGATGCAAGAATATCGTATTCAATACAGAATAGAATGTAATACCAGAAAACAAAAATATACTACATTGAGTAATCAAATTAAAACGGAACTAATGTTGAACAAAGATCATAATGAGCAAATCAATCTAATTTTAACTTTTCATCCCGGTTTATCAAAAATCAAACGGATTGATTGCAATGATTATATGAGACAATTAGTTGCTACCGATACAAATAGTTGAGAAAATAATTATTTATACCAACTGAGTGATGTGATGTTTGAAAATTAGGCTTAACAGTCAGGTCTTGAACAAAATGAAGAACGAGTGACCTACATGTTAATTCCTTCCAACTACCTACAACATTTTATATTGTAAACAAACATTTTAACACAAAAGTCCTATTCATCTGAACTCTGGTTTTCTTGATTTTTAGTAACTCAAGTATTTGTGTCAATACTACAGCTTAGTAAATATCCATCATTCAGCCACATCATCCAAAGACTAACATTCCACTCACTGATTATAACAACAGAGAAATTTCGTATTATCAATTGCTAAAAAGACTCCTTCACAACACCAAGCCACCAACTACTTCATTGTGTTATATCTACAGGAGTAGAAGTGAGATATTAAAAAAAGATCAGCCTTCAAAACTATGCATATTTTTTCAATTACCAATTGTTATTGGTACTTTCCACTACTAACAGCATTACTACTTAATTTTATTTTTCACTCCGTTAATTCAAATCATAACAATTTCCACTAATTCACTTATCTCTCAGGACTTACTTTAAGTTTATCTTCCTATCACGAGCATGTCTTATTTATAGTAAATTAAGTTAGAAAGCTAAAAGTTTATATGTAACATTTTTATGTTTCTTAACAAAAAACAAATACCTAAATGATAATTACTCAGGTACTCAAAATGGAAATATTCAACTTCTAATAATGAATAAATGAATAATGCTGAAAAGAAATAAACAATGATAATGAACCAAAATTAAATATTTTTAAAAATAAAACTTACCATTTCCATTCCCATTCACAGTTGATACAATTTGTTGTTGTTGTCTTTGTTGAACTGCTGTTGCAGCAGCAGCTACACCAGCTAATGCTGCAGCTAATTGTTCTCTTAATGCAGCACGATCAGCAGCAGATGAACGCACTTCTTCTTCTAGTTGTGCACCACGTTCTAATGCTGTACGTAAACGTTCACGTACACGTTCATCTAATGCTTTATGATGTTCAAATAATGATTTTAATGCTTTTAATACTTCGACTTCAGAACTAACACCACCAGGACTATTTACTTGTCTTTTTACAACTGTCATTCTTAATGAACGTTCATGTCTAGCAACTAAACATTCTAAATGTTCTAAAAGAAGCTGAGATAAATCAATTAAAAAACAATAATGAAAAAGGAAAGAGGTTTTATTCTGTCAATAAAATAAGGAATAACATATATTTGATTAATTAAATTATTTTATACATTACAATATGATGAATCGACCTTAGTTAAACAACCATTAAAAACCAAGAAGCACTGTAGAGTTTTTTTTACACAAGTACAGAAATCCTCAACACATAAGACCATCCCACAAACTATTAAGTCCAGAACTTGCAGCCTGTATTGCATGAGCCCAACATCCATACCAGTGAGTTGGTGAATTAATTTAAACCAGATATACAAACTACTAAACCCTGACTCAATGATCTAAAGAGCTCAACAGGAATCCAAACGTCCACAGTTCGATCCAAAGTAGAAATATGTATGTGTGCTAGTGAGGAGTCCCAGATTAGGACGAACGTTATTCATTGCTCTCTGGTTTTCAGTAGCTGCCTAACTAAGATCATTCCGTGATATAGACTTTAAAAACCTAAATATCTCCAAAAACTCCCTAAAATAATAAATACATATGATTTAAAGATTCATCTTATATTAAAAAGTAGCAGAACTCATTCACTATACTAAAATTTTAAAAAGTGATCTACTACCTAAGAAGTTGTTATTAACAATAAAACGATAAACTGGATTATTTATTCAACACAATAAAAATAATCAAACAGTTTATCGACTTTGTTATCCTTTTCTCATGATCATCAACATTATCATTTATCTACTTCTTCATAACATACAATTGTACACTATTCATAAATTGACTTTAAATGAAAGTAAACACACACTACCTTAATCGAGTTACAGCTTGTTCATCGATCACATACAAAAATAGTATTAACAAACAATTGGTAATGATAACATTCTTTTTAGAGGGATACTAGTTATCTTTCAGTTGAAGATTGGTTATTTTACAGATTCATAAAGTCCATTGAACTGGTATAATCAGTGGAAAATTAAGATATATGGTTTCTTGTTTTTACTCCTAATGCTTAAATGTAACACATGAGCATGAAGCGGTGAATCTGAGAGTAACTGAAATTAATTTTTAAAGAAGGTTTACACATAAATAAGTGTCAAAAATTTTGATAATCATGATTTGAAAATATGATTAAATATTATACACATCAAATTTTAAAAATTGATCACTGGAGGAGTCTGGAAAAACTACAGGTCAGTGTACCAATCAGACACAGTTTATCAGTCTAGTGCATTCGATCATTTAGGATATATAACATTAAAATTTTATTCTGCTTTACATTTTTTTAGTGTTGCACGTGTATGCGCGTGTGAATGAGAAACGATTGATTGTTTGCTTTGCTGTCAAACAAACTTTCACCTGAAACCACGATTATCGTTTGCTAATCCATAGATGCCCAGATTACTCGAAAATTTTAAGTATCTTTCCTCTAAAATGTATGTTCCAGAAAGTAGCTGACAAAGTTAGAAGTCTAATAAGTCTTAAGCGGCGTAGAACCTGGTGTATATCTGGATCTTTTCAAGTTGTTACACTACAAAAGAGCCAATGAAACTATCATGATTAATCCAAGAATAGTAGAGTTGTAGTGAACAGAACACGGGTGGGCGACAATCGGATATATTTGACACAAAATTACTGGACTTGTTAATAAAATCTAACAATCATATAGTAAATGCTTAATTTACAAAATGTCCATCAATTGTCTCAAAATGACTCAGACTTCATTGTTCTTGGATTTTCATACAAATTGCATCCTGTTTCCATTCTTTACTGTTCGATCCTCTTGTCTCTCTGCTGCCAGACCTTCTATTCACGACTAACATCATATACTACTTATGTCAATATAAGCAGCACACACCACAGAGTTAGTGATAATATCAGTTTTGTGAGAAAGGATTAAACGAAAACAATATGATTCGAAAAGAATGAATTCGCTGAAAAAGTATGGGACAAGTTTAAAACCTAGAACTTAAAGGAAGATAGGGAGTGAACGCATTCACCTCACTCACCATCAACAATCACTAGCTAGAAGTTAAATTTAATAGATTAAGTTTAAGCTTATGAAAATATAAAAATATAACTAAATAAATTTGAGAAACAACATACCCTTGTATTATTTCTTTCCGATTTCAACTCAACAATTTCTTCTTCTCGTTCGGAAATTTGATCACGTAAACGATGTACTTCTTTGGCCAGTAAAGATAAATCCTACAAGTGAATAAACATAGAGCACAACAAAAATATTTTTTCCGAAAACTAGAACCAAGAAAGAATAAAATCTTGAAATCTGTATAGAAGTGTCTTAAACAATGAAACTTCACATTACATATACCTAGAAGGTTAATTTATTCATTACCGATTGAATATGCACGGAAGATACCATCGAACGCTCTAAATTCAAAACCAATATACTAGAAAAATCTAATCTGTGTAGTAATAAATATATTTTTCATGATATCCCAATGAGTAGAAAATTGTATTCCTGACGTTTCGTGACTCAGTGTAAGTCACTCGGAAGAAGTGTCTTACATTAGGTTACAAAACATGAGAAATACAATTTCCTACTCATTGAAACATGACAAAGAGTATATTAATTAATAACTTTCTACTCGATATTCAGTTTATTTGAAACTAATCTATGTAGATTGAAACTAATAAGAAATCCATGAATTACATAGGCAAATATAGTGTTTCACAGAATGGACAGAATATAACTATTGTCAAACATATATATAAATTGATAGGTGCTTGTTGAGAGTTTGTATAAAGCCAGCCAAAAGATACCTAAAGAATCTGTAACAACTTGGAGTGACATAATTGTATCAATCAAAATTGACTCCCCTAAAAACAGAACAATAGTGAGTACATTATTTTTAATAATTTATATGAACTCAATAAACAATTATTTTTATTATATAAGAAGTTGCTAGTTCCTCAATATGATCTTGTTATTTTAAATACTAGTGCCATAAATTTTGATCTGAAAAGTTTGTAATTTGTTTCACCCAGTCAAATTCTAGATATTATCAACCATTTTTTCAAAGCATGTATGCACATCATATGATGAGTCAATGTATTTGGTGATTCAAGTACATAACTTCATTAACTGATCTATACCAAATTTCACCACAACTCCATTTATAACCCCAGGAACCATATATTAAGAGAATCTACAGTGAGTAAGCAATAGTGAAGATTAATGTCTTTCATATATAGACTATCCACTTTCACACGACGAATCTGTCAACTGTATATTGGCATTATAACTTCAAATCTTTGCATACCATTTAAAATGCATATCACAGAGAGTGAATAAAAACGTTCGTTGTAAGAATTTTCGGTTGACCACAATGTATTGATATAAATATCCTGTTCGTTTTTGATCAGCTGAAAAGTGATGAGACTTCGGTATGCATACTACAAACTAAATTGATTACCATTGGTGCACACTGAGTGTATAGATATCAATTATCATCTACGTTATAAAATATATAAATTTTAAGTATAGCACTGTCCACTTAAACGCCATATAAATAGTTGTTAGAAATAAATGAAGAAAAGTCCATACATTCAGTAAACTATGTCTTTTCCACACCACTTATTATAATTGACGCAGTAATAGGAATGATACCAAAGTTCGAAGAACACTTTAAAATAAAAAAATATTCTAGAGATTGTAAATGTTCCCCATACATTTTTGTGGTCATTGTTAATTTCACTTGAATTAAATGACAGTGTATAAAATCCTTGAAATGCCCGGATTAAATCTGCCCAACTAACGGCAAACCTAATAACTATTAATCTTTAAAAACGTTTTTGAATGAAAATTCATTGTAAAGAATAAATCAGTGGTCTATCACATTCTTTGATGTTAACAAAAACTTACATTCTACATTGTTCTGTACACTATGGAAGAGCTAATTGTGCAAAACCTCTCAATGATGATTTACTTCTTCCTGATGAAAAGCTTTGAAGGATACAATTTTAATATCATCAACTTACCGGATTTAGTTAGAGATGGTACAAAATCTTAATATGTAATGTTATTTCAAACGTGACTATCTATCATCAACGAATGATGGTAACTTTTAAAAAAATTCATTTTATATTAATCAATCACAGATTTGCAGTTGAAAACAAGCATAGAGTTAAATGAATTACGTTCTTACATCGATTTTTGGATTTAAAAAAAATACACCATATTGTATTTTAATCTTGGCTCTTAACAGAATACATACAATAAAATAATGGTTTTCTATGTTAAAGGTTACATATTTGAAGATATTTGATTCAAAGTTTATTTAAAGTCGATATCATGTATTTGAAAAAGTTTTAGCAGTATTAATGAAATATGAAAACAAAATTAGGAAAATATCAGATGGGTTTTGTGGAGATTGTAGTAATTTCAATGATTAAGATCATGAGTCAGTTGAAGCGAGACCACCATGGAAAACCTGGAAGCACTGGACGGCCGTTTCGTCCCATTGTGGGACTCCTCAGCAATGCGCATCCACGACCTCGCTCCCTGCAAGATTCGAAACCAGGACCTACTGGTTTCGCGCGCGAGCACTTAACCACTAGACCGCTGAGCCGCAGGGGGCGAGGTCGTGGATGCGCACTGCTGAGGAGTCCCACAATAGGACGGAACGGCCGTCCAGTGCTTCCAGGTTTTCCATGGTGGTCTAGCTTCAACTGACTCATGATCTTAACCATTGAAGAATTAAGAAAAAACAAACAACTAATTTTGTTTTAAATAAATTTTTGTTAAATCTAGAACATACGAAATATTAAAAACAACTTTTAAGTATTGAAGTAGATACTTTCTAGATTGAACTGAGTATTTACAGAGATTGTAGTCAGAGGCAAGATTAACATAACGAAATAGTGCTACTATGTAGCATGAGTAATTGAAGAGGGTGACACCAATAACTAGGACTAATTGGTCAAGTTTCAGGTAACAGAGTATATGTTCAGTATCCTAGCTACGAGATCATCATTAGTTCAGTCTTACTATGAAAGTTATTACAAGTCACACAGATGATGACCACGATTATAAACCGTAACATAAGGTACCTAGTAAATAAATTAATATATTTGTAATATCCTAATGGGTAGAAAATTTAATTTTTCTACTCATTAGAATATTACAAAAAAATTTATTTATTTATAACAATCTCCCTAATGCTCAATTTATTCGAAGTTACCAATTCAAAACTTGGTAATGATACCTGCGGTATCTAGTGTTTACTTAAGCAGTGGACTGCTATTCAACACTATTGGGTGCCATTAATACACACCAATGAGTATTACCATATGTTCACGAAACCGGGAGACGTTTATTATAAAGATATTCGTATGATACACAAATAAATTCAGAACACTACAATTGGATAAAGCTCAAAGGATTTATAGCTAGACAAAAATAAAAACAAACACGACTGAACATTTCAAGAACTACCATACTACTATTTCACTTTGCCACATCTATGTGTATCTACGAATTCAGCTCTTATGGAGAAAGCTATTGATAAGTCCTCTAATTGAATGCTAGATTCGGTTCCTAAGCTCTTCTAGTAACCCCCAGGCTAAATCTACGCAGAAACTTGAACACGAGAGAAAAGGCGCGAAATATGGAAGAAACGCTTTACTTCCTTCGTTGTTAAGAAAGGATACCGTCAAAACAAAACGTAGCTCTATTCTATCACACTTGATCGATAGCGGTCATGTAGTAAACAGAAATAGATCATTTAAAGTGATTTGTCGTATTCCGACTAGTTTTCCTTATGGGGTTCGATTTCGTCTCTTACACATAGCAGAAGCTTCAGGGATTCCAGCTAACAGTCTAAGTCTTTGCATTCATAAGAAATTTGTAACACCTTTATCTCTTCCTTGGCCTTAAGAAATGATTTTATTCACTATTATTTTCCATACTCTTCGTTTATTCATCTCCAACCCCTCCCACCTATTTCTTTCCTCAAATATACGCTTCATTGTCCAATTATCGGAACATCTCTTATTACATAATATTATAGTTTTTATGAATGTTATCTCAGCATCTATATTTTTTGACCTAATTCCCACTATGAAACATGGATACAAGCCTTTATTATTCTTACCACAACTAGTACACCTGTCATTACACTATCAATTTGTACTTTCTATTTATTATGTTTATTTATGTAATCTATTCCACTATCATTATTGAATCACAAACTCACTTGATTGATTTATTAACTTCATATATGCATACAAATACTACTGTATATTATAGTACAGCCTGATGAGGATCTAATCGAAACAATGTTGTTCGCTTATATACATTGTTCTAATAACAGAGATGTCAATAAAATAGTCTTACAGTAAGAGTGTATTTTCTTTCTTCTAAACAATAAAAACTTATCAAATCAGTTTGTATTATAAGTGCTTATGGATGATAGTAACGTGATGTATAAGAGCAGAGTCAATTTAATGCCTTATTCGCTTCTCTTTACCAACCTACCATATATTTTGATAAATAACGTCAGTCAGTTCTGACTATGTATATAAGAACTACAAAAAAAAAAAATTTATATATATAAGAACTATATATATATATATATATATATATGTTGTGAACAATAAGCAAATTAAATATCAGTAATTAGACTTGGCAGAAGTAACAGTTGTGAAATGCAATCGTGAATATACATTGCCTCAAATCAATCAGTAAATTTATCTGTAATACTAGTTTAATTAGTTATATGTTATTCAATAATTCATCTAAAAATCGACATTAAATTGAATCCAAAGAATTACTATTTTCATGACGATATTTGACGGAATGTTATACTCAAGTGGATAATGCAATCTTCAATATAATTCCTGATTGTAATACATTTTAAAGTAATTTTCAATGAGAACAAACCTTTAATTATATAATTTCGTAAATAATCATCTGGAATTTCGCAAACTATAAGACCACTTCATTTATCATCAGCTTATGTGGACCGTTGGCTTAATGAACAATCCACTAGGATTTCAATTAAAAAACTAAAAAAGTCCAAATATTATTCGATTGACCTTAGTATGAACAAATGAACTGTATCACCAGCCCTCACATATATGCACACATATGGATTTCGAACTAGAATATACGACCCCGTACTTGGTATACAAATGTAAATCATTACTAGCAATAGTGGGTGTAACCTAGTATAATATTTGCATAG